TAGCATATCATGACATTAATAAAAAAAGATTAAAAATTAAACAAAAATTTTAAATCTCAGAACTGATTCCAATATAAATTAAAGACTTATTAGAACAGAGCTTGAAATAAAGGCTTGTCCACAGTTAGTTTCCTCTCCCATTTTAAAAATAGCTCCCACACCTCTCCTCAAGTTCCTCTCTACCACCTCCTCCCTTTATCATTCTCAGCAGATAGTTAGGACTCTAAATTCATAAATTAGAAAATTTGTGTTCTTTAAATGGATTAATGTTTCCATCTTCTTTCCATTATCAAACACATGCCCATTGATGATATGTAAACTAATCTCTTTGTTCCTTCCTTTCAGTTCTGCCTATCTGCTTCACCAGCCCAGCAAAATCTCAGTCCCAATAAATCAGGCATTTCCCTTCTCTTGTTCTACAAGAGATTTGTATGATAAAATCCAGCATAAATTTATTATCTTTAATGTTCACTAGACCCTCAAAACTAATGGATTCTTTTGTTGCTCTTGTTCAACTATCTCTTATTTCTGGGTGTCTCTTGCATTCTCTTATATTGATATTCTAAACCATCACAAATTTCCATAAGTCTCCTACTCAATGTGTTTACTCCAGACTATCAATAGGCCATATCTTCTACAGATGACAACAGGAATCTTAAAAGTCATCAAGCAAGATCTTACTTACTACCTAACATATAAATTTATATTCACTTCTAGCAAAATCTGTTTTCCCACAGGATAAACTGTCTTTCTCCTATTCAAGGCTCATTCATCCACCTATAATTTGACTTCACGCTCCCCCTTTCCTCAATTTATTTTCACTTTCTCCTGAAGTTTTCCAAATTTCTTGCTCTGCTGGTTTCTTCTCTTTTCTTTATGAGTATGCCTGCGTCTCTCCCATCTTTCAAAACAAAGCAAAACATTATAAACATGTAAACAAAACCCCCATTATTGCCAACTTCACCACTGCTGTGGCTTGGCTATGCTTTGTACCTTAAAGGTTCGTGTGCTGGAACTAAGATGTTAGAACCACTAAGAGATGGGGTCTAGTGGAAGGTCCACCCTCACAGCTGGATTAATGCTGTATCACAGGAGAGGATCAAGCCTCATGTAACTAGATTAGTTTTTAGGAGAATGGGTTTTTACAAAGTGAGGCTGCTTCATGTGCTTGGCCCCTTCTGTATATAGCTTGCTCCCATTCTGCTTTTCTACCATGTGGTAACACAGCTAGGCGGCCCTTGCCAGCATGCCAGTGCCATGCTGTTTGGACCTTCCAACCTTTTAAAAAATTAAGTACCCAATTTCAGGTATCTGGTTATAGCAACACCAAACTGACCAAGATAACCTCTATCAATCTCTTATGTTCTACTTTCTTTCTAATTTCTCAAAGTTTAGCATATACTTACTGTCTGGTCTCAACTCAGATTCACTACTCAACTCCTCCAATGTTTTCTGGCTAAACCACTCTAATGAATTCCAATTCTGAAAAATCTCATGATCAAATCCTTATCTTACTGGTTCTATTATATGTGACAGTGTTGACTGCTCTTCATCAGATTTTTATCTCAAGTTGTTAAACATCAACCTCTCTTGGTTCTGTTTTGTTACTAACCAGCTCCTGTTCAGTATCCTTTAGGGATTCTCTTTCTTTCTTTCAACATTTATTTCTCCTTTGTTCATCTTTAGCCTGCTGTTCTTCTAACTTGCCAAAATGAGCCATGAGTTATCTCTTTTGCCCTTCTAGAGTTTCAACTGCAACATTTTGTTAATGGGTCCCCAAAGCATGTATTGAGCCAAGTCTCCTCACAGGAGGTTCCAAACGATTGTTAAAAACCTCTACCATGGAAGCTCACAAATAATTTTGACCCAGTGTCCCACACTGATCTGCCCTCTAAAACCTGTCTTTCTCAGCAACTGGTGAAAACAATCACCAACTTTCCCAAACTGGAAGTGTAGGAGACAACCTTGCCTTGGCTCCTTCTACTCTTATTCTATTGTTTAAACTACTTCCTTGGCATTGTATGCCTCCGGGAAAAAGTATTAACTGTGAACATTACTTATAAAGCTATCGTGATCTGCTTCCTATCCATCTCAACAGTCTTTTATGTTTTGCCTTCCTTGATGTAAAATCAGGTTTTTAGATGGCTGATGGATGCTGGCACATATAAACATGCTTCTGGCCTTTTGTCTTAATTAATCATTTAACTTCTATTACCTTCTTAGTTAATTTAGCCCTGTTTATCTCCAATCTGGCTAATGGTTATCTTTTAAGAACTCAAGAATCCATCACATTCTTAAGAAAGACTTTCCTTCTCTGGTCCCTACAGACTCTTCATTAACTACGGTACCTACATTTATAGTTATACTTATTCTTTCTTATTGTTTTATCTGTTTTTGTGCTTATATATTCTTATGTGCAGATTTACATGTTTATCTTCAATATTATACTTACAGCCTTACAAGATTAGAAACTACATTTCATCTCAGAAATGCCAATGCATAGTGCAGTATAATATAATGTACACTTATTTGACAGAAGTTCACTGAATGACTTTGTAAACACACAAAACAGAATAAATGAAGGGACAAAACAAGCAAACAGAATACACAAGGTCAATCTCCCCCCTTCTGCTATCAACATTAGCTGATAGATTGGTCTGTGTAATACATAACATGAACAATTACTTTAGCATAAATAGTTTATAATCTTTGCTTTTGTCTTCTAGAGCTTTTATTTTTAATTCAGTAACAAAAATAATAATATATACAAGTTCCTAAGGAAAAATATTTATTAATTGTCTTATGTATATTATCTTATTTAATCCTTATAAGGATTATATCTACCTCATAAGGTAGATATTCTTATTTTACAGCCAGGAAAATTAAGGTGATTGCTAATCCCCAGTGCTATTCCTAGAGAGGAAGAACAGGGATATGTGCAAATTGAAGACAAGACATTGATCGGTGAAAACTAAAGATCAAGTGAATGTCAACTTTCTGAACGTGAAGTACCAACCTAGTTCTTCAATTTGGCTATATGAAAACACTACCAGTTAGGCTAATACACTCTAGGCAGATTGGACAAATCCCCTTCCTGGGATATCAATATACCCAAAAGAAACGATTTATGGATAATATTAAGACTGAAGAGTCACACTGGGTGTGGTGCTGCACACCTGTAAGCTCAGTGTTTTGAGAGGTGAGGCAAGAGGATCACAAGTTCAAAGCCAGCCTCAGTAACTTAACGAGAGCCTCTGTCTCAAAATTAAAAATGAGAAGGGTTGGGGATGTGGCTCTGTGCTAAAGTATCTCTGGGTTCAATCCCTGGTACCAAAAAAAAAAAGAAAGAAAAAAAGTACATGTGGCGGGTGAGGGGTATCTAAAAGAGTGGTAAGATCATCTTACTACTTATAATGTTCACCTTTACACATAATTTCCAATGTTTCAATATTTCATTCCTCGATAACACTAAAACTGAGGAGAAATAAAGTGCCTAGAAATTTTCAAAAACAAAGACAGACTAACAGAATTAACAATATAAAGACCAAGTAAGACTATTGAGCCAGAGATGTAAGACAGAGTCAGGAAAGAGATAAAGAGACAAGAGTGGAGAAGGAAGAAATAGAGCCGGGGAGAAACAGGAGCAAAACAAAACAAAACAAAACAAAAAAACAAGAAAGGGTAGAGGTGGGGGAAAGAATAACAGAGAAAGGGAAGACAGAGGGAGATGAAATCAGAGAGAGAAAGAGAGAGAGAGGATAGAAGAGGGGAAGGGAGGGGAGGAGAAGAGACAGGAAGAAAGAGAAATAGGATGGGAGGGAGAGAAGGAAAGGTAGGGGAGGAAAAGGGGCAGGACAAGGGCAAGAACTAGAAATAGAAAAAAGAAAAGAGTGAGGGAGACAAAGAAAGGAGAAAGAAAGAACAAACAGAAAGAGATACATGAGGAGAAAGATAGAAACTGTAAAAGAGGTCTAGGGGAAACTGAGTTCCATAATACTGGAAATAAAAAGGTGACATATTACAAGTTCATTGTTTAAAACATATTTTTAGTTGTGGACGGACACAATACCTTTATTTTACTTATTTACTTTTTATGTTGTGCTAAGGGTCAAACTCAGTGCCTGATACATATTAGGCATGCTCTACCACTGATTAATTTTTGAGCAATATTTACACCACAGTCAGTGGAGAGTAAACACTGAATATTGTTTATACAAATGGCACAACCATGTGGAAAGGACAGGACCATAGCATGCATTAGACAGTGTATAATATGTATGTTATGGCTTAGTGGGTCAGGAAGTTAAAAAGGCAGATTCTCATATTCCTTAGTAGGAGGTCAGTTAAAACTGAATAATCAAGAAACGGCAGTTAAACCATGCTATTTAAAAGCTTTAGTGGTAGCAGCAATTAGCTATAGAAAGCAGTAGGAAACTATAAAGCTGTGGAACTTTTAAAAACTATGTACTTATAAATCTTTGATCAATATAAAAAAGTGATTTTAAAAAGCTCCAATAAGACTGTTACATATAATCACCAAAATACATTAAGACATTAATTCTATTTAGATTTTGTCTATAGCCTATAACTATTTCTTTGCTGAATCTCATAGAAAACAGGACAAACCAAAAAAGCAAACCATATAATATTTAAAATTGTACAAAGAACATGGTCAAGTGTACCATTTGGTGCAAGCTCGCCACCTTCAAAACAATAGAAATAACACAAATGTTAATTTACAACCTTCATTCTTCCAAAGCTCAGCCATTAAAGGAACATTTCACAAACCTCAAAGCTTTTCTTTTATCTGTTAGGTTTCACCAAGTATAGTTCATTCTGACCAGGTTTCACATGAAGTCACACTGATTTACAGCAAATTTCTAAATGAAAATATCAAGAGGTCATCTTATAGTTTTTTTTCTACCTATGACTTACCATTTACCTTAAGACTTCTGTAAGGACATCCGATCCTACAAGTTACATTTGGAACCTGGTCTTACCCTGTTAAACACTGGCAGCATCATGTATAATTTCTCTTCTTGTTCCTTCTGAGTCATGTGCCGGGGAGGATGGCACAGCTCAGTGAAGAGACGGCGGAGGTGCATCAGTCCCAAGGCATTGTCCTGCGGGCTGCACTCCTCCTGCCTCGGCCTCCCCATGATCCTCTTCACCATGTTCATCTTGGCTAGTTGGTGATAAATACTTCTAATTCTGTAGAAAGATGTCAATGCATAACAGTCAAAATGTCACCACCTTGACCAGGTTGAGCATGCATTTAAGAGCCTATAAAAAGTCCTAAAAATAGAAAATTCTCTCTAGTATAAGCAAAGTTAATTTTGATAAATCTCCCTGAATGACAAATTATGAATTATGGGAACTCAAAAGTTCCTTCTGGCTTTACTACATTTTATATAAAATATAAAACATTAACTAGACAAATAAAAAATATTTCTAATAAAGTTAACTATATCAAATTCAACAAAGTGATCACAAATGCTGCTATTAATATTACTTTATTTTTAAGTATATGTAAAAAAGAATGAAACAAATAGAAAGTTCTCCCTAACCTCAAAGAATCCCCAAACTCAAAACTACCAACGTCTTCTATATTGTTATATCAGTTTTTCTAGATAAGTAAATTCCATGTGCCTGATGAACAGTTTGTTACAGTTTAAAAATGTGCAAATTAAGTGAAAGAATATCACAATGTATCTTATGAATCCATAAAGAAACAGTGAAAATTATCACATAAATAAAGAACACTTTCTCAAAACAAAACAAAATATCCTTAAGTAAGTTATATTGATTCCTTTTGTGAGTAGTGATGAATATTTTTTTC